ATGACTTTTCTGACAACCCAATAGATGTGAATACTGTCAAGGAAAGAGAGTCCCCTGGCTGCACCTTCCATTTGATGCCGTATCTCTTCTATTCCATAGAGGGACTTCATTCAGCCTCTCTTCTCTAGCTGTTTCCTTCTCTACAGAAGAAGCCACAGGTAGCATCAGCTATCCACCTTCCAGGGCATAAAAGAAGCACTGGGAGGATGAATAGAGGCAGTGGGAGGAGGGGAAAAAGGGATTGAAGATTATTGTCAATGAGAATATTACCATGAAGAATGAATGCAACAGAACAGAGCTTTCTACCTAGCCTCCCTGTATCTGAAATGGATCTTGCCATGACTTGCTGAATGAACTTGGAAGTGCTTAATTATAAGTACAGGTTTGGGTTTCACCATTACCCATTATCCTGGATGCTAAGCTCCCACTTTCCCATCTCCTAACACTGAATCTAAATCTGGCAAAGGTTGCTAGGGGTTGAGCCTCAACAGACTTACCCTTCTTTACCCAAGGTAAAGAAGATTGTGAAAAATACCTGTGGGCTGTTTATATTACAGAAATACATGATGGGCGTGTTGCCTGCAGTGGGTCCCTGATCCAGGCAGACATTTTCATCCAGTGAGTTTTTCATCTGAAGAGTCAAAACACATGACAGCATTGTTGGAAAGAGGCAGAGAAAGAGGGCCCTCAAGCCTCCCCAGGTCCTGCATTTTCCCCAGAACTCCAAGGGTGCCAGAAATTACCATCCAAAAGGAAGCAGTGGTTTGGGATCCTGGCAGCCATTTTCTAATGTTTCTTGAACCATCACAACAGATATCGAGAAGGGGAACCTATGCCCGTGTTCAGGTGGGCAAGGCCAAATATCTGGTTGGCTGAGAAACTTGGAAGATCTGAGCAAGGGCTGCAGTTTGCAAAGTAAGAAATCAGAGGCAGAGAGAAGGAAAAGAGATGGGGACTGGAGGGCAACAGATGAAAGGAAACTGAGAGGGTCCAAGGGCAAAAAGCTGAGGAAGGAGTTGGGGGTAGGAAGGGAATATTGGGCAGGAAGAATTTGGAAACCCTTTTCTGGCAGTCATGTAATTCAGGTTTCATTTTCTTTAACAGTCAAACATTTAAAATCTGAATTCAATTTCATAATACGTACTCTTCCATAGGCCACAATGTTGTGGATTGGCTTCAGAGCTGGATAAACATTTTTCAGATACCAGTCAAAAGTTTTACATTTCAGTTTCTCCCGGAGTGCCATTCTGGAAGAAATGTCTCCATAATCGATTCCAGAGTTCTATAAATAAAACATGGAGAGTTTCTGTGTAACGTCCTTGACTCCACCAAAAGGTATGGGTGACACCTGAGGGAACTGGGTATTTTTGTGATGCCCTGTAAGGTAACCTTGAAAATTTATAGTTCTCCAGGAAAAGTGGAAAAAGCTTGAACTCTAGAAATCTCTGCTAGTTTCAAAGGCACCTGAGAGGCCTGTGCAGTGAGGTCATTCAGGTTTATTTTTCATCATTAGCAAGCTGACACAGATTGCTCCTGTTTGAGATAATACTTACATCAATAAGGCATGAAATACTCCTCATGATAGCAAGAAAAGGCTTTCAAAAAATATTCTGGTGGCAAGATTTGAAAGTTAAGGAACATTTTCTAAAAGTTATATCTGTGGGGAATCAAAGTGAAAAAAATGTTTGAGCCAAGAGCCACAGCTCAGGAAAAGAAGACAGCAAATCATCTTGACTTCAGATGGCAAGGACAAATGATGTGCCCTTAGCCAAGAAAGTCATTCTCATGCATGTGCATCCAAAAGGATTACAGTCCCCACTCCCACCACCCTACATCCTGCCTGCCATGTTAATATCCTCTTAAGACAGTGAATTTCTGATGTCCAACTCTGCCTCACAAGGCTTCTACCAGTATAGATGATGGATGAAGAACATGGAATCTAGAAGATTACTAAGTTTGAATCTTATGTCTGTCACTTACTACCTTACTGCTTTAAACAAGTTTCTTTCAGCTCTCTGTGCTTCAGTTTCTTAATCCGTAAATTTAGAATAATAAAAATAAAACTGAGCCAAGGTAAATGTTGTGCTCACCTCCTCCCATGACCACATCAAAATTACAACTAAATTATAGAAAAACCACCCTAGAGAACCACCTGAAGACTAGCTGAGCAGAACTCCTATAACTAAGGATATAAAGAAGAAGCCACATCAAGACTGGTAGACACCAATGCAATGGTCCCACACCCACATGTGGTGGTTAAGAATTGGGAGAGATATCTCACTGAGGAGGTCCCTGCTGAGGAGTGAGGTGTCCCAGCCCCACACTGGTCTTCCCAGCCTGGAG